CATCCTGTTACGGACCCGCACTTTTCAAAAAGGAGGAAATTACAGATTATTTACGATTTAATTATAATTTCAGCAGAATATTAAAACCGTTTCTTACTCTTGATCACGCAGAGTCACTCGTGATCACTCGTGTGTACTTTTGGACAAGACCCTTTTCCTACGGTTTTGAAAAAAGGAACTCCATGTCGGTAAGTTTAAAGCGCCATGTACCTATTTATTCATTTATTTATCATATAAGAAAGATTGCCGTTACAGAAATCAGAAATAAGACGGCAGGAAATGAATCACTTCTTGAGGTCGAACGCAATTGTTCCCTAGTTTTTGTACATCGAAAAACTATTACTTGTATCAAAAGGCTTCTAAGAACTAGATTAGCAAATTTTCTGAGACTAAACTGTAACACGTGAACTTAACGGCTCAAAGTTTTGTTTGAGGAGTTGGCGAGCGAACTAGATAGAACATAAAGGCGTGATCGTTAGCGCCTATAGAGACTGAATAAACAGCTATGCTCATAAGTGTTAATGCAGTAAGCTTTAAATTGCAATGTAAAGTGTTTATTAGGAGGTAATTATTTTACAAAACAATCCTAATTTAAGGAAAAGTGTAAAGCAGGCGAAGAACAGTCTCTTTGGTGGGCGTCTAGGATGACAAACCCGAACGACTGCCACGAAAAAGGCTATTGTAGTTTGAAAATGTGATTAAAGGATTTTTACTTGAAATCATTCATTATTTGTTCTGAATGAAGATCACAGACAAGGAACTTAATGAAAGGATCGTTTACGTGATACTAAGGTAAATACCTCATGGCTCATCCGTAATACACAGAATACTGTTTGTTTTGACGTAAGGGATATTTTAATCACACGAAGTACCAGGTCGATTGGCCTGCAAACTGAGCTATGAACTTAGAATTGGGTGAATTTTGGAGTCAATAAAAACGAAGCGTAACACAGTTAATGTGATCAAATTCCTTGTTTCTTAGTGTCATTAACAACTCATTTAACGCACATTAGGCTAAAAGCAACCGACTTCGTTACATGGCATTGTTGGGAATCTTTGCAAACATCCACGCACTACATCTCAGTTTTGTTATGAACACATTATGAAGAGCTTAATGACGTGTCAACTGACCTATGCGTAGCTCCGGATAACTTAAGGCCGCTATAAAAGCTTATTAGCCGAACTCAGCTGCCAAACATTAGCAAATTGAAGTGACTATGGCGCACAGCAGTTCTAAGCCGAACACAAGAAGCGCACCGGTTTTTTACGTATCAAGAAAGGAAACATTCAGCGCTGGCCATAGGTTAGTGAACCCGAAGCTCAGTGAAGAGGAGAACTGGCAATTATTCGGAAAATGTACAAATCCAAACGGCCATGGACATAACTACCGGGTTAAAATTACTCTCCGCGGAAAACAAGATCCTAAAACCGCCATGGTAATGCACTTAAGCAAGGTGAAAGAGCTTCTGAAGTCAGTACTTGAACCACTCGATCACAAAAATCTTCATATGGATATCGATTTCTTCAAGATCAACATGAGCACAACAGAGAATACAGCCAGATACATATGGAATGAGATGGATAAAGTGCTACCCAATGGTATCTTGTATGAAGTTAAAGTGTCCTCCACTGATAACAACACCTTCGTATATAGAGGAGAGGTTGAATAGCCCTACCATTTGATGGTTCAGTTTATTTTTTTGGGAAAAAAGACAAAAAAAAAATAGTTTAGGTCACTTTTTTACACATTGCTGGTTGACCAAAGAGTCGGAGACACCTTTTTTTCTTAAGTGAAACACTGACTGGCTTCGTACAAACAAGCACTGTTTAGACTTGACTTGTGGAAGCACTATGTAGATATCTTTCAGTCAAACATCAAGCAAAATGTTAAGTAATACAAATGATTGTTTATTTCGAACAACACTACTCAAAATAAATAACATCAAGAAAACAGATCAAATTGTGAGACGCACATTTCATCAAATACTAAGTACACGTAATTTTTAAAAGTCATGAGCCGAGTGGACCCGAATGGTACGCCTTTTACGAACTTGTAACAATCAATGCTTATGTTAAATTTACATTTCGCATGCAGTCTCTTTATGATGTGCATCAATGACATCTTGCGGCAAGATAACATTACGGTGAAAGACATTCTGAAATTCTGAAACTTAAGGTACTTGTATTATGTTGTGCCAGGCTAATGTGATGTTTCTTCTCAAGATCTTGCATTATGTTATTTGGTGATCCGTAACACCACGAGATTACCCTTTAATGCTTAGTTTGGCAAAAGTGCGGTTGACAGGATTGTTGCCTACTGATTGGATCTCATGTTCTAAGCTAAGCCACCGTTAAGTTTATTGACAGATAACAATTAGTAAAGACAAACAAACGAAGACGAGAAAAAGCATCACCAGTTCTTTAATCATTGCTTATAGAGCTGTCGCTCGGCCCAAACTCGATGAGTACCTTACAATTGAATCAGGTGCAGGCCACGCTGACTACTTCCACCCGAGAAAACAATCGGTTCAACGTTCGAACGAGCTTCAAAGGGGCTAGATAGCAGGTGTTTAACGGAATCCTTTAATACAATTTTTGTCACCAGACTTTGTATGGTGACTTTTATCGTAGGACTTTAGGCCCTACAAGACGTACACATTTACCTAAAATATAGTGTTCTTGTTAGGCTATTGACCTAACATCGTGCTCTACACTTCTGTGCCACGAAAATTCGAATCTTCGACAACAGCAGCCAGCCATCCCGCCAAGTTGACTTCTTTTTGTTCATATCCAAGAATAAATGGGTGTTTCTGCAAAACAAAACTTACTTAAGTTAAATCCTGCTTTAATAAGAAATATTACGATAATAGAAAAAAACAAAAACAAAAACAAGAGTAGGCCGATTACCAAAGCAACCGTTAAAATGTTGATTGCAAAGCACCTGTCAAAATACAATAGCAGTCTTAGGTACACTAACAATTATGGACAAACCTTCCCAGCCACTTCCCCAAGAGAAGAACCGACCGATCCTTTGGGTTACTACCGTGTCACGTAAAAATAAAAAGTGAATCAAGAAATTAATCACTACCACGTACCAGCAACGCGTTATACTTGGGTCGATATCTGTAGTCCTTTATCAAACTAAAAGAAACAACATCATCAACGATAACTATCGAATCATTTTTTGCAAACCAAGTTTGTTAAGTCGTTCTGGATTCCTTTAAGATGAAAGGTTTCTTACCATGTCTTGACAAAAGAGTAAAAGTTAGCAGTAAATCCTTGTCTGGGAAGTAAAGGAGGATCTTCACTCATCACACGAGACAGAACTTCAAACTCTGTGGTACAATTTCTGTATGGAAACTCTCCAGTAGCCAGCTCAACCTGCAACATAACCAACAGTAAGTCATGTCAGAAAACACACTTAGGCACAAGAAAAGCACTGTCCGGTTTGATCTCAAGCACTTGGCATATAATGTATTTACGAAATAGTTTGAACTGAATGATGCAGAAAAGTAACGCACGTACACACAAAATCATTTATACTTCTTTCTGTACACTTTGTAACAGGCGAAAAGGTCCACATAATGAAGAGGTCTACCTTAAATGTTACGGCAAACGGTTCAAGGCGAGGATAACGACATCACTAATTGTAGGCTCGGTATTGAGGCAGAAGAAGACTGACGAGCCAAAGATTCACAACAATCTTAAGTACTTGGGTTAGAGGTAGCGACAAGGCAGAACCTTAATATAATAACGTTTAGTTCTATCTACTGTTTTTCTTAAAAAAAA